CGACCAAATTCTCCCAACAGAAAGCCTGGAGTAGGACAGTTTCCAGTTGACAAGATTAACAAGATGAGTAAATGAGTAACAAAAATAAAAGGTGAGCTGCAGGGGAAGTTCACAGTGACATGGAATGAACAAGCAAATGACAGAGGGAAAATAAAAATACATTTGAAATAAAGACAGAAGAGTTAAAGACTAACGACAGAAGAAATAACGAACAGAAACTGAGAATGATGAGACAGAGGGAGAAACATCCCAAGATGAAGAAGAAAGGTCAGAGGAGACAGAGATGATAGAAGACAGTATCAGCAAGGTGGTGGAAAGAGCTGAGGTGTCAGAGAATGAGGACTTAGAGGACTTACATTCAGTGGAAACCAAAATGCAACAATTGAAAAAGAGGTCAAAGGTTAACTAATATTGACAGTAACCCCAAGAAGAACACCAACAGGAAACACGGGAAACGCCCAAGGAACGTTCAAATGGACAAAATAGACCTGGAAGCAGATTGGAAATGAACACAGTCTGTAAGAAAGACATCTTAGAACAGCACAAGAGGCCATAGATGGAAACCACTTGACTTGAGGAGCAGATAAAATCACTCAAGGAGGACCAGAGAGAAAAGATAGACGCTGCATGGAATGAAAATTATGGAGGAGATTAAAGGATAAGGCATCAACTGGCCAATCACAGAGAGTGAGGATGCATCTGAACCGTGTCATGATATCAGAAAGAATCCCCCGCTGAAACAAGTCAACGATATTTAGACAGTGTTAGGGAAAAAACTGTCAGATTTAATAGACCGCCAAACACACCATATAAGAGAAATGTCAGAACCATCACCCATGTACTTGAGAAGTGGAAGACGAGTGGGAGAGAAATCCCCTCAAAACAATGGCCAGAATACAGAAGGGGAAGAAAGGGAGCAAGAGGACAAAAAAACTTCAAACAAACTTTAAGTGCCCTCATAATAACTAAGGCACAGGGACAGAACCCAGTATGTGCCATGGTCATTCATGGATATGGTTGGGCTGGCTACAGGCTTGCTAGACCTCACTGAAGGAGAAAATAAATGGATAACTGCACTGGAAGAAAGCACAGAGGGAGTAACGCTAGCACTTAAGGTGGCATTAAAGCTCTGCTTATGCATATAGCAGGAAAACACAGAAGACATCTTCAATGCAGCAGACCTGCCATTGGTGTTGGATGGAAATAAAGCAGACAGTGGTGGGTTTTGGTGGACACTGCACCATAGTGTGGGCCCAGCTGAGAAAGCAGTATCTGGAAAAAATGGACCAGTGAACACTGAAACAGGCTGAATCTCCTTCAAAGTTCCTACATGCTTTTTCAACGAAAATGGAGAGATGAAACAGGAAGTGCCTGGAACATCAATAACACCACAGAAGCTCTGTTCAAAAGTAATGGCAAAGAAAGCCATGCCAAAAGAAGTGGAAAAGCATTTGGAGAATGTTGTGGGCCTCATGAAAATGGACTGGTCTCTTTCTCTGAGCATGTTGTGCACCATGTGGAAACCTATAGAAAGGAAAAACAGAGGGAGGAAGATGCAAACAGGCACCTGGCCAACAAGCTGACACAGCTACAGCTGAATGAATTAAGTAAAGCAAGAAAGAAAAAGTGAAGGCCCACTGCTAGTGGGCCTTCACTTTGAATCACATGAACTCGGTCCAATGGTGAAAGCAGCATTACAAATACAACAGTGGAAACTTACGCGAGAGTAAGTACATCCACATCTTCACCAGGAAAACAATATATTAGAATATCATTAAGAGCAATGTGATGAAGGGGTAGCAGAAAAGCTCATGATGAATGAAAGAATGCCTACAATGATTCCACTGACACAGAACATAAAATCCTGTTACAACAGGTGCCACAAGAAGTGTGGGTCAAACACAAGACTGATTAGACAGGATTAAAGTAGCGCAACCTATAGACAGATCAAGCTTAAACCAGGAGCTATGTTGCCATACAGAAAACAATATCCACTGAAAGCTGCATGCTATAGAAAGAATGAAGACCATAACGGGGGGGGGGGACAAAAAGCCCCAGCAATACTCCATTTTTTTTCAATCAAGAAGCCACACTATAATGATTATCGATTAGTGCATAGCCTAGAGCTATCAATTCCATTGCTGATGCTTAATGTGGCAAAGTGGCGGTCATAGAGTAATGAAATTTTTGTTGCCGAACAACGCCACTGCGGGAATTTCACCCCAGGAAGTAATCACAAATTTTTTGTAAAGGGAGGCCTAAAGGCTACACAAGTTCGAAATCACCACGGGGCAGGAGACAGTGTTCACAATACAAAACTTTCTTTATTAAACAATGATTATAAAAAAAAAAAGTCCCATATATTGCTGTCTATAGCACCTAATGTTAGATACGGGGGCCAA